ATCAACAGTTACAGCTAAGAAAAAATGGCAAAAGCAAATATTACAAACGCAAAAGGAAAAAATCAAGATAGACAAACAGAGCTCCAGGAACTAATATTGAAAGTAGCGGGTAACAAGCAATTAGATACTGAAAAAGAAGCAACATTTTTGCAAGACGCAGTGTGGAATACCATAGAGATTTTCAAATATTCTCTAGATGAGGACAAAAATTTTGGAGATTACTTCAGAAGACATGAAGACATCTTTATGATAGACTGTCAAAATTGGACAGAAGCAAAAAAGCTACGTCTATTGCATAAAAATTAGGAACTGAAGAATATAAAATGTTCGTGGATTATATCTTGCCAAAAAAGACGAACGAATTAACATTTGACGAAGCAGTGACATGTCTTAAAGAACTCTTCAGCTCCAAAACATCACTCTTCCATAGGGGGTGGAAATGCCTTAACCTGGTAAAGGGCGATAATGAGGATTATTCCACGTTTGCCGCAATCGTAAATAAACATTGTGAAGACTTCAAACTAGCGGAATTAACCCCGGACAATTTCAACTGTCTCATCTTTGTTCAAGGGCTAGTTTCTACAAAAGATAGCGAAATGCGTAGAAGAATGCTTGCAAAATTACAAAATGAACCGGGTCTAACATTACAGCAATTATCGGAAGATTGCCAGAGATGTTTAAGCATAAAGAAAGACGCAAAAGACATTGAAGAATCAGCTGTTTCTCATATACGTAAGTTAAACAAAAGTCTACGTTCTTCACCCTCCCCGGAAAGAAAACTAAAATTTTACAATGAAAAAAGATTCTCACCCTCCCCGGAAAGAAAAAGAAAATTTTATAATAAAAGGAAAAGTACAACATACAGGACAAATTATGACGAATATCGAAACAAATATAAGCCCCCTCCATCAGCATGTTATCAATGTGGAGGATTACATTGGAACAAGGATTGCCGCTTCAGATATAAAAACTGTCTTGAATGTGGAAGAAAGGGCCACAAGGCATCCCAGTGTAAAAATAGAAAAGATACTAATAGGATAAGAGTCACGAGGTTGCATAACGATGACAACACCAATGTAAGGAAATATGTGGAACTGGTAATTTTAAATAAAAAGATTAAATTACAACTTCTTTCGGGTTCCGACCTCACGATAATCAACTTACAGACATGGAAAAAACTCAATAGACATACCATGTTACACACTCAAAAATTTGCCAAGTCGGTTACAGGCAAACGAATAAAATTTGAGGGAGAAATAATAGTGAATGTTAAATTTCACGGCAAAACAAAAAAAAAATCTAGTAGGTATCGACTGGATGCAGAAGTTCAAACGTTTGGGACCTACCTATCAACTCTTTTAACAAAAAGTTAGAGATAGAACCATCAGATACTATAAAATTGAAGGAGGAATTATATAATCAATTTCCTGAGGTATTTTCAAGCGGGTTGGGATGATGAAACAAATTTAAGGCCAACATAGAATTAAAAGAAAACGTCCAACCAATTTTTAAAAAGAAGCGAAATGTACCGTTCGCTACTATAGAAATATAGACAACGGGAAGACAGATCCACGCTAGTATCGATTTTATCTACAGAAGAATGCAGACAGCTTATATATATATATATATATATATATATATATATATATATATATATATGTGTGTGTGTGTGTGTGTGTGTGTGTGTGTGTGTGTGTGTGTGTGTGTGTGTTAAAAAAGGCTTAAACACTAATATTCCATGGCCATAATTTATTTCATTGGAATCGTAAATACGATCCAATTCATCAGACCTACAAATTCCAAAAGAAAACAGAAAAAACAACTCCAGAAATAAAAAATAGAATAAAAATAAGTGTTTAAGCCTTTTTATTATATCCTTACTCTGTCCTAGACATTGAGTTCTACCTGGATTCTTCCTCTTGGAAAATCTTTTTCTGAAAATATACATGTATGGGTATTTTTTTTATATATATATATATATTTTGCATATGTATGTATATTTTCCACTAATATTATCTCTCTCTCTCTCTCTCTCTCTCTATATATATATATATATATATATATATGTGCCTCTATTTACATATGCTGTTATATATACACATTTATGTCACTTAGTGTATCTGTATATGGTTATGTCATTGTCTATGTCGATATCTATCAAGTTTGAGCCCTTGAGTCAGATGAATCTTCCAGTGGAATTTTCATACAAATTGCACTACGCGTAAAACTGCATTGTCATAGCTCAGAGGTATCGTCATTAAGAAACACAATCTCCCTTGTTCTTTATGGCCTTAAGCCCATCCAATCACATGTAAAACAAACAGACATAAACACAGAAGGACAATACCGATTCACAAATAAAATAATAATAATAATAATAATAATAATAATAATAATAATAAATATATAAACCTAACAGATGAGAGATAGAGCTTGATATGTTTTAAAAGGGTTTGAATGACATTTAATTCACCCTGAAAAAAATGAAATCTTTTTTTTTTTTTTGTGAACGGAAATTGCTAGAATGAAAATAACGGAATTAAATAATGAAAAAAAAATGGCATTAAGATACACTTTTTAGGTTTTGGATTTTTAGCAATGTTTGTGTAGTGTACGACAACGGTTTGGAAATACGTATGTTTCGTCTATGTTGAGCGCTTTGCTGGAAATGATGGCGTCTAGAAACAAACAGGAGACAATTATCTGCAATTCAATTTCAATGGCAAACAGGTTAAAATATGCGCTTATATATATATATATATATATACAGAATTCCAAAATACGCAGAATTACTAAAAATACTTCGATATCAAAGAAATATTAACATTACTTCTGCATCTTCAACACACCTGGACGTCTAGGAGGAGGATGCGATAAAATTAAGTTTGGTTCCCAAAGTGAATCAGTGGTCGCTACATGATATGCCAAACTCCCGTGGTACTAGGAATCTGCATTCTTAACCGTTTCATTATAAGGAAGCATTCGGCGTTCATTGACAGAACAAGTAACGGTACTCTCTGTTTGAAAATTATAAAATCTTTCTATTAAATCAAACGTTTCAGGAAAATATGTTTCTCAAGTCCACTTACTGTTATTATCTTTCCAACACTGATGGGGATTTTCTTTCTAGCCTTTTGTTTGTAGTCGAGTGGAAGTTCAAATTTTACATTATATCATTATAATTATTTCATTTCTCTTCCAGCTACATATGCTATCCATTTTAGTTGTTGAAACTCCTCAAGTGATGTGGTACAGTTCTTTGTTTTTGAACAAGTAGCACCAGTCTACGAGGTTCGAAGTGCCATTTCTATCTCTAAGACCAATAGTCTTTGTTCTTTCGGAGCAAATTTAACCAATGATCCGAGAAAGTGGTTGTATACTACTCTAAGTGTATATATATATATATATATATATATATATATATATATATATATATATATATAGCGCGAACATTGAAACAAGGACAAAAATTTCCCTGAGGCCCCGCAACCGTCGGTTGCGCTGGCCTCAGTACTAACACCGATCCTTCCCTCTGGTGCAATGGGAGGTGCGGCCTCAGACAACTATTCTCCACGGCTGGGCACCTCTTCAGTATAATTTTCTCAGTTGCTTCTCTGTCCTTTGACAGAGAAGCTCCTGAGTGCAATTTGCCCAAAGACAGAGACGCAACTGAGAGATGATAGGCCATGCATTAAAAATCCCCCCAAGAAGTGATTTTACACTAAAAGCTCTATATTTGTATTATATTTTATCTACTTCTAGGTGATACAACTCTTCGAGTTTAACTAATTTTGATATTGATTTTTAAAAAGTATATTTCATTAACTAACTGTTCTTCATTAGTGCCCTTTTATTCAAGGATTGTTTTGATATTCATAACAAAAATAGTTCCTTTTAAGTATATTGTCTTAAACAGTGCAGACAAATGTTTGAAATTTGCATTTGGCCTTCAACAAGTTGGCATCTATTTGTAAAACTTTCCTTAATTATAACAAGCCAATTTATGAATTAAATATTCATTTAAAATTTTTGTTTCAAATATTTCAAGTAGTGTTTATATCTTAATCTGTGAAGCGATATCGAACGGGCGAAGCCTGCTAGTATATATTATTATATTTAGTCTAATTCTTATGAACAAATCAGTCGTTTGTATACTCCATCATTATTATTTTGACTCTTCAAGTAAAAGGAATTGGGCCAAGGTACATGGAAGCAGAATTTTTCTGTATTTATTTTTATTTTCTCTAATCCTTTGATAAATTTGTCGTGGGTGACATTTGTACGGTTGAGTAAATTTTCCGAGACGTTGTTAATTTAAAAGTATAATTATAAAAGCACATTTGAAAAAAAATGTCCAAAACAACAACCAGAGGTAACCTTTTACAATGATAATAGTAATACCGAGTTCGTCTAAGACGACAGAATTGGATCTAAAGCAAATTTAAAAATAGAAAAACACTTCCGGTGTCCTTGCTACCCACGCTTTCGTAATGAGGTCGTTTGAAAGTCCCAAGTATTACTTCCGGCTATCGCAAAATTAAATAGTTTCATTTGCATTATAAACGGAAGCGTGGAGAATAATTCAATCGGCCATATTTTTTTATGAAATTGCAATATTTTTGACGCATGAGCAATGAGGTTTTTCTTTTCGTGTTTGAAACATTTTTGCTTCTACGATTTCTTTTGATAAAAGGTCATCCCTGTGCGGAAGGTTCACTGCTTTGATAAAGGTCACTGGGTTCAAAATTCTTAAATATTCCATTTCGATAATATGTCTCTTTCGGAGGCAGCAGCAATGCTGCATTCATCATTGATTTCCATGGGGCGAAACTTAGTTCAACTAATAAATGAATGTAGTTTATCTGTGAACGAATGAACATTTTTACTGAAACACAACGCAAAGCATACGCACAAACAGAATTCGTACAGGCATACCATTTTTCTAACATACCCTCACGCACATACACGCGCACGCGCGCACACACACACATTTATACACGTTGGAACAACGGTTCCTGTACGATCACCGAAGTTAAGCAAAGACAAGCCTGGTCAATACTAAGATTGGTAACCGCTTCGGAATACCAGGTGCTGTAAGCTAGGATGTGCGGGTGGTGTAATGGATAACGGCTCGAAATTGTTAATCGAAGTGACGAGTTCCAATTCCAGTTAGGTTCGTTATATTAACTTACGCGCAAATACTCTTGGGAAAGGCATAGAATCATCCCCCCCCCCCAGCTACAGGTTAGGCATTAAGACTTGTATCAGTAAAACCATTATTATCTCTAAAAAAAAAAAATGCGTACAAAATATTTAGATGTCAGAAAAAGAAACCCACAAACCAAGAACATATTTATAATGTGGATACAGGAATCAACACTGCATAGATACTGCCAGTTTCACGTCTCAGTGCAATTTTCAGATATAGTGTTACTGCTCTTTTAGTGAGCACTATATATCGGTTAACTGCGATTGAGGGAAGAGGGGAAAGGTAGAAATGTTTAGTTTATTCATGCTTATGGCTTCAATACTGCTTTATTTTTATATTTATTGTTTTTTTATTATTTTATTCACACACACACACACTCATGTATGACTAATCAAGATTTTGAAAAATTTCAGTTGTCTGTTTTGATTAGTCTTACTCTTATGTCCATCGTCATTTCATGTTGAATTAAATATAGTCAAATGTTAATTATGTTTTATGAATATGCCCTGAAGATGGTCTACTAGACCGAAACGTCCGACGTTGACATTATATTAACATTAAAACAGTATAATTGCATATTAGGATTTTTGTTTGATTTTTCCGTATATCTTTCTTCATATATATATATATATATATATATATATATATATATATATATAAAGAAATAATGGATTTATTGCTAATCCGATATTTATTACTTCAAACGTTATTATAGCCGATCCCTCGCATTTGAAATAGACGCCCTCCTTTCAACAGTGTGTATTACGACATTCGGCCTAAACATTGGAGAATTTTTAGTAAAAACGAATGCTTTTCTCGGTATAGATGGAACATGTGCCCTCCTTTCTAGTGGAAACCACCGTTATGATTCACTGTGCTCTACCGTTCAGCCACGGAACCAGGATCTATTTTCCCTTATTAATGAAAGCACATCCTCTTCACACAGATTATTTTCGTGAAAGCTTTATATCTACACATTTTCATATCCGAAACGTAAACAAAGCAATTTATAAACAATCAGTACATTTATTTTTAACCCGACATTTTTATTACTTCAAACGTAATCATATTCGTTCCTTCATATTTTAAATAGACACCCCTTATTAGAACTAAAATCTCGATTCGAACAATATGCCTGATGCCAAACACACAACTAAACCACCACAGCAGATGCTGTATTTATCAAGTTGGAGAGAAAATTCAGGTTCTTTTTTGTTGTTGAATCATAGATTTTATTTATTTTTAAGGATGATTAGAAAGTCAGTCTGTGGGTGTGCCTATGGTGCATTGGATAGAGTATCAGACAAGAAATCAGTGAACTCGAATTCCAGTCGAGTGCCTTACAGTCACTTTTATGCAAATATCATTGGGAAAGCTCTAAATCCATCTCTCTTCTCTCGTACCTAATCGGCGGCTATGAGTTAAATATTTGGTTTGGTTTGGTTTAGTTTTTGTTTTACGGCATATCAACCTCAATGGATTATTTAATGCTGGCAACACTTTTAATGCTGGTAATATTTTTAATCAGAAATGTACTGGTATCATTTCTTTTTTCAAAAAAATGTATCGCTGGTAATCTTTTTCCAAAAAAGAATTGCTGGTATTAAAAACTATTTTCATAGTTTCATAGTGTTTTAACTCCTTTAGAGGTTTAGACTATTTGGCCATAGCTGCGACCCTGACAGGTGCTACCACCCCGGGTCAAGGTGTAACTGGGAACACTAGCAAATAAGAGGTGGTTCCACGCTTCTCAAAACCTTCTGATGAAAGGCATTGCTGAAGGATGTAGTTTATCGTCTTCCCCACGGTGCGGATGTAGTTTATCGTCATATCCAGGACTATTTGGGAAGGCTTGATTCTTAATCCTTGGTTGGTAATCAATAGAGGAGAATGAAAAGTCGAAAATCCTAAGCCAGTATAGATGAAAGTCGTTAGCGTGGGAACACTTGATCGTCTAAGAGAAGGACAATAAATGTAGAGAGGATTGGTGTGGAGCCAATCGCCCCGGCGCATGACATAGTTCGGTTGCAGGAACACCAAGAAGAAGACATGTGCCATGAGGCACCAGGTAATTTTTGTAAGAAGCTCAATCTGAATATCACTTCCACACAATTTCTATTCAAACAGCCCGGATGCAAATGGAGAACGACTTCAGTCAATACGAAAGAGGAAGAAGACGAAGATATCTTTCTTTACTGTATTTTATGCACACAGCTGAACGTTGCTAAAAGGCAGACTAGGATTTATTATCAGTAGATATAATCTTAACGGCATAAAATAAGCAAATGACAGTGTATTATTGATAGTAAGCTGAAAAGAACTCGTAGGCAAGAAGAAAGGACTGTGTACTGTAACAAGACAGAATACGTTTTTGTCAACGGAAGAGATACCCCAATGAAAAAGCTATGTATTGGAAATGTCAAAATTAAGTAAAAAAAATCAACAACTGAATATGTGACTCAGAAAACCTAAGATGCATAGGAATAGCGGAAAATGTTAATCAGGAACTAAGTAATGTATTAAGATATATAAAAATTGTGCTGAACTGCTATGTAATATGTAATCTGGATAATAGTTGAATGCAATAATGCTGGCTAATGTCTTCACAGATGAAGGAGAGGCTTCAAGGGACGGAGATGGTCTTCTAGTAAACCGATACTAAGAATAACGTGAACTGAACATGTGAGCAAAGAGGAAGTTTTAAAGAAAAAAGAAACTACAAAATCACTTATACGTTCAATCAGAAGCTGACATTGCCGGGACACATAATGTGAAAAAAAATAGCTTTGGTAATTGAAAAATCACAGGACATGTTGAAGCCCAGAGAAACAAGAAAAAAAAGTGAGTAACGTATTTTACAAGTGTGTATGTGGGTGCTTGAATGGATATCAGAAAAAAGACAAAGAAGAATATTAAAGAGTCAGCATTTACTGAGAGCAACAAAGGCAGGAAGTTGTGGAAGGCTATGGCCGCCCTCTTCCTGAAGTGCAACAGCACATTAAAAAAAAAAAAAGAAAGAAAAGAATCCATAAAAGCACGATGCTCGCCCATCCAATTCATGTTGGGAACTGAAAACAAAATAAAACAAAATGGCGTTATATGTACATTTCGAAAATAAAAACACATTTTTCGGTCTTTACTCCATTTCGCTTTTATTAAACCTTCAAATGTGTCAGATCATTTTGCAACCTGTAATAGGGCTGATATTACATAACAGTTCAGAACTCTTTTCTTAATTTCTAACGAAATCCTTCTGTTTTTTCATACTTTTTAAAGTCTTAGATTTTTGGAATTCGTCTTCGGAATTCGGTGTCGCAATTTCCGTCCTCTGTTAAAACCGGATTGTGAAAATTGTTCGAGAATAATTGCTCAAAAAGAATTATTCAAAATCAGTTATTCGGAAATTCTTTATTCGAATTGTAAGTTGTTTGAATGAAAATTAATGGAAAGGACAATTATACGAAATGATAATTATTCGAAATATTTATGTTTGAAATATGTATGTGGTCTGTCTTTGAGAGTGCCAATACTGATTTACCTGGAACTAATAACGGCCCTGCAAGATAGCATAGGGCTTTTTTTTTGCAGCAAGTATCATCCCACATTATGGAAATTCTTAGACGCTCTTAAAAGAGAGCAGGAATTGCCAAAATATCAAGTTCGCCAAGAAATAGCGAGACGTAAATGGAAAATTTAAAAAATTAGTGCCACTTTTTACTCTGCAGTAGTTGAATGTTTGCGTGTGGTATCATAACTTTAGCTCATAAGGATTTTTTTTTCTTACTAAATTGTTTTATTAACGATATTTGTATTTCAAATAATTATCATTTGTGCATTTTCTCTTTTAATTTTTTATATTTTTATTGCAATAAAGAATTTTGTATTTCGAATAATTATTATTTTGTATAGTTGTCCTTTTGATTAAATTTCTTTCAAACTATTTACAATTCGAATAAATGTTTTACGAATAATTGTTTTCGAATAATCTTTTTCGAACAATTTTTCGAACAATTATTTTCGAACAATGTTCACATAATCGTTAAAAGTCTTCCCAACTAGTGAAATTGTACTTGCTTTTTTTGTGTCTCCAATTTGTAATTTACTTAACTTTATTCCTCATCAAGCGGGAAACAAATTATTTATTGTTTCAATGGCTTCTTAGATTAGCTTTCTATACACTGTTTTAAGAAAAGATGAGATTATATATTTAGACGGCCACGTATGATATAAAGCTACAATTTTGGAGAACTCGCTGAGGATTGAAGTAAATACAATAGTAAGAAGATTCGCTTCTTGTCTACTGTTTTCTTTTCTGGGGACGTGTTTTGAAATTTTATTTAGACATCATCTCTGTAAACGTAAGGAAAATTTAATTTGAATAATTCAAAGACGAATAGGATAAAAGTTTTGGATGAAAATGAAGCCGCATTAAATTTGAGCCTAGAATGCGGTTAAGTGGACGAATTTTGCCAACTTGGTATAGTTTAAGAAAATATCGATAAAAAGAAGTGAAAGACGTTGATAGAAGGACATTATTTACTTATTTACTCAGAGCTGAATGGGGAAATTAATACCATGTTCGCTTTCTTATACTGTTCCTGTATTTTTTGAGATTTTTATATGTTAATTTTTGTTCAGACATTTTCATGTCGCACTTACCTTTTTGTATTATGAGAGCCATCGATTATTTTCTTATCATATTATCTATTCAGATATTGTGCAAACTAAAGATTGTCTTACTATCTATCAATATATTTATCTATTGATGTGTTTGCGTAGATAAATGGATATGAACTTACTGAGCTAGATGTAAATATACTGAGATAGATAGAGTGAGAGGCACAAACTGCGATAGATAGATAGAAAGACAAAAAAGAAAGAAAGAAGAATAAAAGGAATATATACAATATACATACATATATATATATATATATATATATATATATATATAGATAGATAGATAGATAGATAGATAGATAGATATAAAAGATATAGATAGATAGAAAGAAGGAACGAAGAATAAATGGAATATATATATATATATATATATTATATATATATATATATATATATATATATATATATATATATATAGATAGATAGATAGATAGATGTAGACTGGCTAAGTTTTAAACAAATTCACGTAGATTTTGTTGCAAAAGGCTTGTCAGTGGAATGGAGTTGACGTGTATGTATATAGGCATTTAAAAATCACCTCTTTTTACGAAAAGTACTATTGAGAAATATATGATTATATGAAGCATAATGAGCAAATTCCTCCCCCATATACGTGAAAGAGTTTGATTGAAGGACATTATATATATATATATATATATATAAGCAAGTGTAAATGGATATAAATCCGACAGAATGTAGAAATTTTGAAAAACAAACAAAAATCCATAAATGTAGTTAAAATGAAAGGGTTGTCGACGTCAGACGTTTCGGTTTAATAAACCATTTTCAAGACAAAATTCATTAAAATACAAATTCAGTTCATTATGACGAAAACGATGGACATTAAAACACAAGTCTTATCAATGGTTTAAAACCAGATAACTGTTTTTACTCTTGGATAATTTTTCATTTTAACTACATTTATGGATTTTGTTTGTTTTTCAAAATTTCACATATATATATATATATATATATATATATATATTTGTGTGTTTGTGTACGTACTTGTGTGTGTATAAATTACGATAACTCTACTTAGTTATGTCACAGGGCCACAAGCAGAAGGCACCCATTGCGGATCGACCTCATTATGTAGTAATGACGACCTGAAAACCAGTTTTGTAACCCTTGCACAAAGATAGGGTGCCTATTTATGTGTCCGAACAAGAACGGAGAGAAGATCAATGTATTCCAGATGTAAATCTGGAACAGACATATGACTTGTGGAATAACGAAAACAATATAAAAACAAAAACAAAATTGTCAACTATAATTAAAACAAAAATAATATGCAACGTGTAAACCCCCAGGAGGAGAAGCAATGAAAAATGAGAAAGAAAATGACATCAAACCAAATTGAGATAGATTACAATTAAACTAATGAAAAAATAAAAAGGAAAGAAAAATTAAATATGAATAAAAAGGAAAGAAAAATTAAATATGGCCTCATAAAAGTCAATTAATGTAACAGAGAACAGAAAAGTATCAACAGCCCGACATTTGCAAAAGAAATAATCAATGAAAGTACCAAATTTAAGAACTAGATTTTTAGAATAACTGCACAAACTTGTACCCTAGGTAGTATCACTAGCAGTCCTTCCGGCAGATACAAATATTGGTACTGACCTGGAACCTCGGTTTCAGTTACTTTGTCACGGTCGTAATCTGACTTTTCCATATATGATTTTGTGGTAATTGTTCTGCAGTCACTAATTCTATACAGGTAACAAAACCAACTATTGTTCTGCCCTGGTAAAGAGCTAACTGTGCTGTCTAATTTGAAGTTAATGTATTATTATTATTATTATTATTATTATTATTATTATTATTATTTTGTTTCTTTGATTTCTGGTGTGTACACATTTCTTTCCGGGTCCCTCCCAGAGACCTAATTTTAGAAATGGCATCATATTTTCCACTGACCAATTAAAACACCAAAAAACACATCATCATCATCATCATCATCATCATCATCATTATTATTATTATTATTTGTGCTAAGCGGTGTTGGCTTACGGCCACATCACGCTGAAACACCGGTCTCCGTATGATCCCCGAAGTTAAGCAACGTCGAGCTTAGTAAGTACCTGGGTGAGTGACCGTTTTGGAGTACCAGGTGTTGTAAGTAATGTATGTGTAGGTGGTGTAATGACTACTGACTCTGAATTGTTAATCGGAGAGCCGAGTTCCAATTCTCGTTAGTTGGTTACATTAACTTACGCGCACATATCCTTATGAAGGGTATGAATCCACCTCTTTTCCCTCCCCCCAAGCTATGGGTTAATTAATATAACTTGTACCATTAAATCATTATTATCTGAAAAACAAAATAAAAAAGCAAAAATGTGTTACAAAATATTTAGATTTCTGCATTAAATAACCCATAGAGGTTAAACAAAAGCAATCAAACCAAGCTAATGCAAATTTAATCGTTTTAAACTAACTTTTTTTGACTTCCATAAATATGGCTGATGCTAACCACCATGAGAGTAAAACATCGCACCTTATCACGAATCAATTGCAAAGTCTGTTGCTAAGATAATTTTTTCTCGCCAGAACATTTATTAATCGACCATTCATCGAAGAGTGAATATTGGAGAAAGATCTGGTTTGGTGCTTCTGTTCTGTATCGAAAGTTTCGTGAGAAATTCCAAAGGAGAATCTGCAATGTTATCGGTTTTGACCTTGCATCCCGGTTTCAGACCCTTTTCAACCGTTTACCCTACCTGAAATCCAGTCAGATCCATTACATTCACTCATGTGGGAAAGGTATGAATCTTCTCCCTCCCCCCAACTATGGGTAAATAGCAGGACTGATCGGGTTCTATAACCTTGGATGGCAACTGGTCTACCGAAGAAAGAAAAAACTGCAGGGAAAAAATCTGCCTCGTCAGTCATGTATCGAAAGATACATGATCGCCTAAGCCTGACCTAAGCATGGCATATAACTGACTGACTGAATCTACCTTCCCTGTGCTTTTTCTGTAAACATTTACATGATAATTATTCTGATTAGCTTTCCTCTTTGGTGTTATATTGCCCCCACCCCTACTACAGACAAGAATTGTACATATGGGGACTAGTTAGGCCTGTCATAGTTATTCTTTGGTATTATGGTGGATGTTGGAAGAATGTTAAGTAAGAATGCGGTGTTTTGGTACAAGGAATACTCTAGTATATTCGGGTCAGAAATTGTGGCTACATAAATTTAATTATAAGACAGAAGAAGACCAGTTTTTTCGCATTCCCAAAATTGCCCTTGTGCCACGTTTTATATTTTTATACAATTAAATATCACTTTCCTCTTCATGAATTTAAGCGCATTCCTCGATTCGGAGTTCGGTCTCCTCATTTTATTTTTGAAATTACTAAGTGTAAGCATAAGTTCTAATAAGTATCGACCGGAATGAATAGATAGATAGATACAAAACTGACTCATACAGACATACATACATACATATATATATATATATATATATATATATATATATGTGTGTGTGTGTGTGTGTGTGTGTGTGTGTGTGTGTGAATGTTTTTTTTCTATTATTAATTCTACATATTTAATTTGTTTAAGTGTTATTTTTTAATGGATACTCATATTTGAGTAAATGTTCTGTTTTTATTTATTTATTTATTTATTTATTTATTCATTAAACAATATATTTATTCATTTCCATCTACTGATTAGATTTTCGAGAAATCTTATTAGAAAAATACGCGCCCTCCTGCTGGATTCAAATCTGCGTTCCCAAGAGGAATCCGTCATTAGATTGGATATGCCCCCGCTCACATTAAAAAAAAGACAAACACAAAAAGCAGAGCATCTACTCAAATATAAATATCCATTAAAAAAAATAACGTTTGATATATCACAAATTCGATATCGATATCATACGATCATTAAGCAAGTAGTCTGAATCGAAGGTCTATTATTTAATTCCGATTCAAATTGGTTACTAACGATCGCAAGATGGCGACATGGATATTGCCAACTAAAAATCAACAGGAAGTTGAAGACAGAATTACCAATAAAAAAATCACTAAAATTAGTAGCAATAGATTAATCTAAGAAATTAGCATAATATATATATATATATATATATATATATATATATATATATATGTCTGTGTGTGTGTGTGCAAATATATTGATAAAATAGGAAAGAACTGTTTAATTGATGATCCGAAGTACTTTAGTATTTTTATTTTTAAAAACAGTGCTCAATAGACAAGTAGAGCCTAGATTATAATTATTTGTCTTTAAATTTGATTCCATCGCTAGACAGGAATTACCATGTTTCAAAAACAGAAGCTAAAAACTTCCAGTTCAATTATAAAAATTAAATTAAATTAAAGTCGGTATACTCTTTCATTTTCAAGCGAATTTTGGATTCCAAAATTCGCTTGAAAATGAAAGAGAATTCAGAACTAGGTACTTTAATTTAATTTAATTTCTATAGATTTTAGCTTCTGTTTCTGAAACATGGTAATTCCTAATAATGATGAATCATATTTTTTAAAATAATTATATATATATATATATATATATATATATATATATATATATATATATTATGAAAATGGACAAAGTCCGACAATTATTTTAAGATATTTTTATGTTTATACATTTTTTATAGATACAAATATTTAAGTAAATTTTCTGTTTATAATAAACAGTATTAAAATAAACATTTACCGGCCTGAATGTCCGAGAAATTTTCATAGAAAGTATTCGTCCTCCGAATTTATATTTGTATCTATAAAAAGAATGTATAAACATAAAAATGTCTTAATGTCTTGTTAAACAGCATATTTATTTGTTTACATCTACTGGCATGAATATTCGAGAAGTTTTGTTAGAAATACATGCATCCTTCTGACACCAAAACAAGGTAAAATGCCTAGTGCGGTCTATTCTATGTTCAATTTCCTTATCTCGTATACTGAATTTGATATAAATGATCAATACTTACATGTATTTGAAGTGTGTAGTATTTATTAATTCCACATTCTGAATCTTTCATGATGCATTCAGGGTAGGTGTCATCACTGTTTTCATTCCAGATTCAGATCATAGTTTCTGATTTTGAAATTTTTTTCTTGAGTCACTTTTCTTGGAACAATTGACCATGTGCAGGCCATGGAAACGGACTTCCCATACATATCCATCTTTCATGTTAACATTAATTTTCTGCTAGGAATGATATTGGACGAAATCAGCAGTCTTTACCAAATGTGCTAGGAAGTTGGACTTCAGATAAATGTTTCCAAAGCAGGAATTATGTTCTAGACTCGGAATAAAATTTGTCAGGGCATATACACTAAAAACCATCATAAAAATAGATTGTGGAATGAATAAATTTTAAAGCATTCTGATATAGACATATCTTTTCTAACACATACATTATAGAAGATACAAAAATTGAACTTAGGATAGGTTGCCCAAGGGTTACCTTTGTCCATCACCGGGACCTGGTGTAAAATCAAAATATCTTGGTTTTTTATCAGTTTGCAGTGTTGGGTGAAACTACCCATAGCCCAGCCACACACACACACATTTCTTCTCAGTATAACTTGTTTCTTTATGATAGATATATATATATATAATTATGGAATTCTGTATATATATATATATATATATATATATATATATATATATATATATATATATATACAGAATTCCATAATTATATATATATATATATAAAAAAAAGCAATGTTAATGTTAATAAATGTCTTAGTTGCTTTCAACAGAATATAAGATCTGATGTCGTAAGAATATCAGAATGTGCAAACTATACTTTATATCATAAAGAAATGATTTATACAAAGTATTCATTAGCAATGTTAATGTGATTAATGGCGAAATAACTTCGCTAACAGGACTTAACGAGACATTAACTTACTAACACTTCCTTCAATAATAAGATTTTTATATTCGAGTTGTTGTCTGGTGGAGGAAACATGCCAAGTACTTTTGACTATTTCAAATTGTCATTTTCAGGGCGCAATTTTTCCATACATAGGCAACCACTAAGAAAAAATATGTTTAGACCGAAAAATGTTGTTTTTAAATTATTTATTGACAATTTGAAGATGACAATATATATATATATATATATATATATATATATATATATATATATATATATATATATATATATGTGGGTGTGTGTGTGCGTGTATAGTTAGATAGATAGATAGATAGATAGATAGATAGATAGATAGATAGATATAGATGAATAGATGGTTACAATGTTAAATAAGATGAAATAATCGTTACATCGTTTTTAGAATATAAGTTTAAAATTTATTTAATATTTTTATCATTATTTTATCATTTTTACTTAGCGTCTTTTATGTGAGGTATTTTAAAATAGATGCCATATCCGGTAATAAAATTAATAGATTTATCTTACCTTTGATGATCAGATCAGTATCCGTGGAAATAATAGATTGAAATTTGAATTTGTTTATTATTATGCCAGTAATTCTATAATTCATTCACCTGCCAATTAAACTATTTGTGTGTTTTTTATTAAATGATTGCAAATTCTTCCCCTCCTTTTTTTTATATATTTTCTATTATATTCCTTTCAACTGACGATGTTTTGTCTCTAATTTTTTTCACATAAAAACATTTTCGAACTGACGGCACGCTGATTTATTACTTTTAAAAAAAATGTGAAAACATTATAGATCTCATGATCGTCCAATATAAACCAGAAACCATTTTGAAAATTGCTTTACATCAAACAGGTTATCACTGTGTAAGTTAATGAAAACTACTATTTTTTATGAGTATTAAAAAGCTCTTTATATCATTAAAATTGAATATATATATATATATATATATATATATATATATATATATATATATATATATATATATATACCCACCCAAAACACAGAAGCTAAAAACTTATAGAAATTAAATTAAATTAAAGTACCTAGTTCTGAATTCTCTTTCATTTTCAAGCGAATTTTGGATTCCAAAATTCGCTTGAAAATGAAAGAGAAATCCGAGTTTAATTTAATTTAATTTAATTTGTATAATTGAATTGGAGGTTTTAACTTCTGTTTTTGAAACATGGTACTTCCTGTCTAGCGATGGAATCAAATTTT